ATTGGTGCATTCAGTCCATTTACATTTAGGGTGGCTATTGAAAGATATGTACTTATTGCCATTGCAGGCTTTAAATTCGTGGTTACCAAAGGTTCAAGGTTAGCCTCTTTAGTATCTTACTGCCTAACTTAGCTCGCTTACTGAGCTGTTATATACACTGTCTGGAGATTCTTTTCTTCTCTCCCTTCTTATTCCTCCTCCTCCATTCTTCATATGTTGGGTGTTTTGTTCTGTGCTCTTTGTCATTATACGTTTTTGTGTGAGACTTTTTTTTTTGCTCAGCATATGGTTTGAGATTCAAGCAGGTTGTTGCATGTTCCAGTGGTTTTTTCTTAATTGCTCAGCAGTATTATTCCACTGTTCAAAGGTGTCACACTTTGCTTAGCCATTTTCCTGTTCGTGGTCACCTGGGCTTCTTTTATTTATTTATTTTTTGTTTGCTTTGTATTTTGTCCAGAATTTATAGTAATTCTGTGTATGAGTTCGTTCCATAAGGAATTTAGTTGGCTATACTGGGAACCTACATTTTGTTTCTTCACAAAAAATTCCTTTTATTAATCTGTTCTAATAATCTAGCCCAGAAAAATAGGAAATCCAAATAATTTGTGAACAGTGAATTCTGCAAGCTGTGGTTACACATTTGAATTTTATTCTCTGTACTCAAATGAATATACATAAGGTTTTAATTTAGCATATGAAATTTTGGAATTAAAAACATTTAATAGTGTCACAAAGTGTTATGATCAGACATAAATGTTATCATAAAATTGCTTATTTGTGGAGCACAGTAAACCATACACTTTTAACCATTAATATAGTAAATATGAACCTAAATGAATCATTTATTTTAAATGAGATTACAGTTCATCAGTAGTCTGGTGTCTACTAGTACTGTATTAGAAGAGATTCTTGGCAGCACTCATGCTTCTTTTTCAATTAATTATTGTTAAACTGAACTAAAAATTATGCTTCTTTTGCATTTAAATAGTATCTTTTTCCCTAAGGAGTTCAGTAACAGAGCAAACAATTTGATATTATGTATTTTAAAAATGTATTTGTGTATTTAATATAAATGTTGAATAAAGCTTTAGAACTTTTTTTGGCTTCTAGTAGATATCTCTCAGTGGCCTGTGGTCTTGCCAACTACCCCTTGCCATCTGGCTGCCAAGAATTGGAATCTCAGAATAGCAGATCTGAATCTTCCTTTTGATACTCATTCTCACAGTTTTATTACTAATCAATATGTTGTTTACATACTTAATTTGCTAGGATGAACTAAAGTTTACTTTTTATAGAAGTGAGTGTTTTATACATTAGGAAAGAATAATTGGAACATTTTCTTAACCATGAGTTTTTCTTTCCTAACATTTGTTTTCTATTTGGCCCTTTAGGATCCTAATGATGCTTTAGGCTCAGTTTAGATACCAGGAAAACCTGAGTTCTTGAAAACCTGTTATCTATTTTTGCTTTTTTTCTGTACTCTTAGTTCTTACCATTATATGTAACATTTATATAAGTTATCATAAGTTCTACCTTATCTTACAGCTATATGCATACTTGTTTTATTTACATGCAGAAATTGGATCTTGTGTCTTTGTATCAACTCTAGTACTTACCTATGAGCCTCACAGACATTCAGCAAATTTTCGTTGGATGTGTGGAGGACTGTAGAAAAAATATAAGGACTTTCCAGTGATGTTGAAGCAACCACTCACATTAACAATTGTGTACATAAAACAACAAATAATTGAGTATAGGTCTAAACATTTCCAAGTACCTTATAATATGAGATGATATTTCATATTAAACTAGTTAGTTTTCTATGTCTTCTGACTGTAAACAGTATTCTTATTTCTTTTGTGCAACCTCATTGCTGAGTACATTACTTTACCCATAGTGGTCTCATGTTTCTGGGATGGATAGTTGAATGACTGAGGCAATAAATGGGATTAAAGGCACACAGGAAAGAGAGAGCATGATAGAGAGACTTTGTGTGGAAGGCCTCTCAGGTGATGGGGAGTTTGAGTTGGAACTGGATTTGATGGACAGGTAGAACTTGGATAGAAAGAGGAGAGTGGAAGGATTTTAGATCAGAGAGCATGGTCTATAAAAGACAAAATTAGGAAGTATCAGGGCATTCATTCATTGTACCAAGGAATGCTAGTGACAGTGTAAGCTCTGAAAAAGATGGAAAGAGACCGCATTGTTTTGCATTTTGTTTTCATCCACTTCCTAAACCAGCATGTATCATTAAGTTCACTGGAATTTGAACTTGGTATGTTGAACTTGGGGTTGAATCTCAGTTCAGCCATTTCCTAGCTATTATGTTACCTTGGGTGCCCACTTAACCTTTCTGAGCCTCAGTTACCTCACATGTAAAATAAGATAATACTAACTATTTCATCAGGGTAGTTGTGAAGAACAATAATATATAGAAAGTCCTTAGCATAGTTCTAAGCTTTCAATATTTGTTTCTTTCAAAACAGTGTGATTCCTAGGTATAAGAATAGGGTTTTGCTAGCATTTATTTATGCATGATATACAGGATGGTAAAGGAAGGTACCTGTGATTCTTTTTCCTGCCTTATTTTCTATAAAAATAGAACAGAAGTTATATTCATGCTCTTGTTCTAACAAGGTAATGAAAATGAGGGTGTCTGAAAACATGGTGACTCTGATAGTATTGTTCTGCCCTGATAACCAGACAGCAGGGGCAGAGAGAGCAGATCACATTGATACTCAGTTCAGACATTGGTATGTTAGGCTCCATCTCATAGAAGATTCATTCAGTATAGCCTGATTTCTCTTCCCTTTCCTGGCCTGTGAGGTTTAAAGCCTCTCTTCTTTCCTTTGTGAGTTACACAAATCTCCTTTCATCCTAGCTTGCAGTTTGTGGTTTAAAGCTAAAGCTAGCAAGATTGAAACAGTCATTCTCTGCCTTTCCACCCACTCTTTTTTCTAGGTTTGACTCTCTCTGCTTTATTCCTAGCCTTATTATCAGAGATCAGCGAGTCTTCCTCTGTGTTTCCCTTTTCCATATGCCTCCCAAATAGCTTATTGTTCCCTCCCCACTTCTGTCATTACTCCCATAGTCTAGGTTCTCAATTTTTCCTAAACTAGTGAAATAATAATAACTCTAACTGGCTTCCCATTTCTACTTGCGCAGTCTACTCCAGTCTTCTGCTCCAGCAGCTGGCAGTTCCCTGTCTCTCCCTCTCCTCAGGCCTCTCTAGTCCCTGACACACAACTTTTGGAGCAGTCTTCCAGAAGTCTTTCTAAAATGCTTTTATCTCTTACTTCCTGTTCACTAGTTCCAAATACTTAGATGATCAAATTTAAGCTCCTCAGCATGATATGTAAGATCTTTTATAATCTAGGTTCTTTTCTTTTAACTTTATCTTCACTTTTCTCTCTATACCATTCCTCTTCTGTCTACTCTCTATGTACATGTAATGTGCAATTTACTGCCTTCTTAAAAATACCATGTTGAGATATCTCTTAGTGCTTTTATGTGTTCCGTCCTCTGCGTAGAGTATTTTCTGCTTTCCTAATTGGTCAACTGCTAGTCCTCCTTCAAAGACCTATTGGGTGTTACTTCTTTGGGGAAGACTCTCTTAGCGTCTTCTCACTGCAGCATCCTGACCATGCCCCAAAGCCTCCCCCACCATGCCCTATGCAGTGGTGCTGTCCAGTATGGAAGGTCCTAGCCACGTGTGGCTGTTTAAATATAAATTATTCAAAATTAATAAAATAAATTCTGTTCCTCATTTGCACAAATATATTTCAAGTGCTCTTTGGTCATACATGGCTAGGAGCTACTGAATTGCATGGCAGAGTTAAAGGACTTTTCTATCACAGAAAGTTCTGTCAGGCAGCTCAGCATAGGGTTAACCACACCTTTCTGTGTGTTGCAGGTTTGTCCGCACCTCTCTCATCCTCACAGAATTGCAGGGAGTTAGGGCCTTGCTCTGGATTAGGTTTTGGCTTAAGGGAATACTGTGGCTGCTTTGGTCTATTCAGACCACTAAAACGTTCTTCGTGTCAGCAATACTGTCTCACTTTTTTATCATTCACATGTATCATTCACTGGAGTAGCACTTTTAATTCCTTCAAGAGCTTTTCCTTTGTGTTCACAAGTTGGCTAACTGGCACAAGAGACCTTGATTTTGGCCTATCTTGGCTTTGAGATGGTTTCCTCATTAGCTTAATCATTTCTAGCTCTTGATTTAAATCGAGTGGTGTGTGACTCTTCCTTTCGTTTGAACTCGGAGAGGCTATTAATTGGCCTAATGTCAGTTGTGTCTCAGGGACTAGGGAGGCCTGAGGAGAGGGAGAAACAGGGAACTACCAGTTGCTGGAGCAGGAAGAACACACACATTTGTCAGTTAAGTTGGCTGTCCTGTTTGGGTGTGGTTCGTGGTGCCCCAAAATAATTACAATAGTAACATCAAAGATCACTGCTTACACATCACCATAACAAATATAGTAATAGTGAAAAAGTTTGAAATATTGCAAGAATTATATTAAAATGTGAGACAGAGACATGAAGTGACCAAATGCTGTTGGAAAAATGGCACTAATAGACTTGCTTGATGCACGGTTGCCAAAAACCGTCAACTTGTGAAAAACACAGTATCTGCGAAGCACTATAAAACAAGGTATGCCTGTATTTAGAAAGCAAGCTCTGGTTGCAAGACATGATCATTGCTGCTGAAATGTTGTTGCTTCTAGGTCCTTTCAGTGAACAGTAGGAGATACATTGTTTGAAAAGTCATCAGTTTATACAGATACCTTCAATTTACATTCTAGTGTCACCGAGATCTACCTTACCTTTCCCCATTTTACATTTATCTCTCTCTTCTCTCAAGAGTAAAAATCCTGCTTTCCCACAAGACCAGTATATTTACTCATTAGCGCTACCCTTTAATATGTTCTGATTGGTATTACAACAGCACTATAAAGCCTTCTAAGTAAACTTCAAAATTTCTTTGCAATATATTTTTTTGTTCTTAGAATATATCTTAAGGATATATTCTCAGAATAGTGTGCTTGAAAGATACTTGGATTCCTTCTTTTTGATATATATAGTTAGGATCATTTGTTTCTTTTATTTAGTTTGAAGTTTGCATTTTCATCCTTTTTTGAAGCCTCATTCCCGTTTTCCATCCCATCTATCCCACTCCCGCCCATCTTCTACTGGATAAGAAAGAGTGAGACATTTAACACAGGCTTGACTTCTGGTTTGTGTAAACATTTTCCATAACACAAAGCTAAGAAGGATGAGCAATAAATATTGACTCTCTAACCTTTAAATAAAGCTCTTTGCCTTATGGCTGAAATTAATGTTTCTGCACCAGCTTTCTTTTGCTTGTTTTTTAGTTTGCCTGTCTTTTTCTATCCCTTTAACTTTAACCTGTGTGTGAATATATTTTAGGTGATATACATACAATTTGAGAATTTGTTTTATATTGGCAACTTTGTAATTATTTATATATTTAAGTTGTTCTTTGTGTCTTATTTTTTGGCTTTTTCTCCCTCCCCCTTTCTTTTTTCTGCCTTGTATTGCATTGATGGAATCATTTGTGCTTCATCTTTTTCTTTCTAATTATTTGGAAGTGATACATTCTGTATCTCTTCTTTTAATGCTCATTTTTAGTGGTCATACTTGTCATGCTGCTTGTGTTGGGTATTTGGTCAAATAAACCCATAAACCTTTTCCACATGAGTTACCAAAATAGCTTTGTGAATCCTGACATTCAGTATTGAAATTCTTTTTACCTGAAGCATAGGAAACTGGGTTTTTTTTTTCCTTCAGATTTTATGATCTTACTTGGAAAAGGAAGGATCTTAGTCACGTTATATGAAGAAAGATTGACAGAAAATTGGACTCACCACCAGTTTTTCTTACAGCATAATAACTCTCTTTCTCTTGCCCCTGGAATCTGAGCACTGTGGAGGCCAGGGATATTATTTTGATCACTACTCTGTCCTTTATGCCTAGAAAGGTATCTGTGCATTAGCTAGCCCACAATAGATATATTAGTTGAACGAATAAAGTAGAAATACTTAGTCTGGAGAGGAATGAATGTGGTGGTAGTGGGATGGAGGGCAGGAGACATTATGGAACCTCTACAGTAATCCTGCTTGTTTAGTATGTCCCTGAGGGTTGAAGTAAGCCCTACAACAGGGAAACAGAAAGCTATTTACTATCAGGATTGTGTGGAGGAACAGTAATGGCATTATTATATTATCAGGTTCCAGTTATTCCAGGATGAGAGGTAACCTGGAAGGGACTAAATAGTCCTTAATTGCTCTGAGATTCTTTGCCAAGTGGGTGAAATATATTGCCATCCTTAATACACAGACAGGTTTAGGAACACAGGTAAGTATTTTTTTTTTCATTGTAGACTTGCTAAATGATCTTAACCCTATTAGTAAAGTGATCATTTAACAGCACAACACTCTGAGTCATCATTCACGGCAGTCACTCACTCTTTGTGCCTCCCTAGTAATGCCTCATGTCCTAGAGTTTTCAGTTTTCTGTTCAGGCAAATTAGAAAGGCAGTAAGTAGGTAGATCAATTGTATGGTCTGCATATTCATCTTTTCTATAGCAAAGCAAACAGTGAAAGGCAGCCTGCATATTTTCTCTGAATTTTGTTTCTGTGTTTTCCTTTGATGTGGAATTATCTTAGTTTGGTTTAGATATTTACTGGGAGTGATATACAAATTGGGACAAGGAAAATCTAGTTTTATTAGTACCTAAAAATCTCAATTAGTCCCTTGAAGGCTGTTTATAATAAAAGAATCTTTTCTCTTTCTTTTAGGGCTGCTGCTCAGAGTAAATTAGGTCACTACACAGATGCAATAAAGGATTGTGAAAAAGCAATAGCAATTGATTCAAAGTACAGCAAGGCCTATGGGAGAATGGGGTAAGTTCTGGGAGAGTCTTCAAAGAAGTACCAAGTACTATCAGATATGCTGTTCTTAATGGCTTGGTTTTGAATGCCTTGCTTAATATCACACCCTCTGAACCAGTAAGAAGAAAAAATGTAAAATTGAGGGAGGAGGAAATGACTGCAATTTCTGTGACTTGGGAGAGAGATGATTGGTTGTATGATGAATGGTTGGTTGTGGGAAGAAATCACGCAACCATAATAAGTAGACTTTCTTCACGTTCAAGGCCACAACTCTGAAATGGCACCCAATATTTTGACAGATGATCCTACTACACTTCCCTGTAAATTCACCTTAGGATTCTTTGAGTTACTCCTTCACCCTATTCTTCTCTTTTCAAATTTCCACTATACCCTCCATGGTTACGATATTGTCTTATACTTGAGAAAATTAGATGCATTTAGAAGAAAAATAACTCATCTCCTTATCTCCAGATCCACCAGACTACCTACATTTGTATCTACACAGACTTCCTGTTTTTTTTGTTAAAATGGAAGGGTCCCTTTCTAAGACTATTGTCTTCACTCCTGCTTTAGATCTCGCCCCTTTCTACCTTCTCAAGACTTTATACTTGTAATCATCTCCTTCATCTTCTACACTAGTTTTCCTGTCTCTACCATTGAAAATGACTTCATGTGAAAGGTCAGAAAATCATCCATTGGAACCATCTTTCTGCACAGCTGTGGCATTTCTTGCTCAGTACTCCTTTCTCTGCAAAGCCCCTGAGATCTGTCCATACTTCACTATCTCTTATTCTCTCTTCAGCTCATTTCAATAGGGCCTTTGTCTACATCACTCTGCTGAGAGCTGTATTCAAGGTCACCAGTTGTCTGTATTTTGTCAAGGCCAAATATCCTCACCCTACCCCATCTTTTAGTATTTGGCACGATTACCTTATTTTTGAAATACTTCATTCTCTAGGCTTCTGTGCCAGTACACTTCCTGGATGCTTTTTCCCAGCCTTCCTACTGGTTCTTCCCCTCTACCAACTCTAAATAATGGTGTATTTCAGGCTCCATCTTCTGCTGCTTTTCCTCCATCTGTTCCCTCTTCTGTTCTCATCCTGTCCCATGCTTTTAAATTCCATCTATAGTCAATACTCATTATTCATGGAATCTGTATTTATGAATTCACCTACTCGCTAAAATTTTTTTGTAACCCTCAAATCAGTAATCACTGTTGCTTTTGTGGTCATTCGCAGAGGGGTAAAAAATTTGAGTCACCTGATGTGCAAGGTCTCAGCTGAGGTCGGGTAAGGCTATGCTCTGCCTTTTTGCTTCAGCTCTCATGCTGTAGAATGTCCTTTTCACAGTCTAGTTATACTGTTTTTTTTTGCATGTTGATTTCCTTGTTTAAAGTCCCCCAAGCATAGGCTGAGTGTTTAGTGTTCCTAAGTGCAAGATGGCTGTAATGTGCCTTGTGAAGAAAATACACATTAGATAAGTTTTGTTTAGGTATCAATTAATGCTGTTGATTGAGTTCAGTGCTAATGAACCAACACTATATATTACATAAAGTTTCTTTAAACAGAAACACACATAAAACAAGGTTATATATTGATACGTTGATGAAAATGTGACCAGAGGCTCACAAAAACCTAACCCTATATTTCTCACAGGAACAGTTGTTCAGTATTGGCTAATTCAATTGTTGCAGTGAATTTATAGAACATAACTACTGTGAATAATGAGAATCAACCATATATGTTGATGGATCCCTTAAGCTGTATGACTGAACTCCATACTCATATATTCAAGTACTTTTCCCCTCTACTTAGATATTTAATAGGCATTTTAAACTTAACATGCCCCAAACAGAACTCTTGTTCCCTTCTTAAATCTTTACCATATCAGTAAATGGTACCATCATTCACCTATTAAACATCTAAGTAGAGGGGAAAGGTACTTAAATATATGAGTATGGAGTTCAGTCATACAGCAACCCAGTGCTTAGGTAACAAGCCTGAGTCATCCTTCATTCTTCTCACATGTGACGTTTCTAATCTGTGAGCAAGTCCAGTTAGTTCTAGTTTCCACATTTATTTTGAATTCAAGTATTGATTGTTACCCTATTTATAACTGTAGTTCAAATTACTCTCTCTTACCTTCACTACTGCAATAGATTCCTAACTGGTCTTCCTGCCTCCCCTTGGCCCCCAGCTATGTTGATCGTTTGCGGAGAAGCCAGAGCAAGCTTTCTAAAGCGTAAATCAGATCATGTCACTCCATTACAACCAGAATTAAATCCAGATTCCAAATCACATGGTTGCATGTGATCTGGCACCTGATTATTCCCTGACCTCACCTCTTTCTACATGTTGTTTTTTGTGCTCCCTGCTTACCAGCCTTTGTCCTGTTCCTTAAGCCTACCAAGCTTGCATTGTTCTAGGGCTTTTGTGTTTACTGCTGCTTCTATTTGGAATGCTCCTCCTCTGATTTTCCTATGACTGCTTTCTCCTCATCAGTCAGGTGTTTTCAGTGTGGCTGCCTTTGAGCAGCTACTCTCTTCATTCTCTTTAATATTACTCTTTCCTATGTGCATGTTTATTGCTTGTCTTAGGATGAAATTTTTTAAAATGCAAGAACTGTACCCTTCCATTGTGGATTCTAAAATAGTGTCTGGTGCACAGTAGGGTATCAATAAGTATTTATTGACTTGATTATTTGAGGACTCTGATGAATTATCTTTCATGGTTGAGTGGTGGAAAACTAATTAGGTTCTGAGAACTTTCCCGTGATTAGGCACTGTATTTTATCTAGATCATAAATTTGTGAGGTAAGTCAGTTAAAAAGAGATGGGGTAATTGGCTAAAAACAAACCTAGAATAAATATAAAACATCAATATCTTCTTTCCATATATACTATTATTGTTTAATTTGAAAGTAATTTTCCAGTAAACACATTCTAACTAGGTGGAGGAAAACAAAAATTTATAAATAACTCTTTGACCAGTGCCTGAGAAAATGTGTTATATCAAATAATTTGTTGATTTGTAAAGGATGCTAATTTTATTTGTTTAACAATGAGTATGTCTTGTTCACGAATAGTCAGCTGATACACAATAGCTTTTTATATTTTTTAATGACAAATTGATTTATTGTGGCTCAGTATCTTTTTGCTAGGAATGAAGAAAGTCAGACATTATAATTCACAAATCTAGTTCAGAGTCCTTAAAATGGTTTTGGAATCATGGAGTTCTCTGATCATAGGATTGTTAGCTCACATATTTGTGGAGATTAATCATTCATAAAGCAAATTACTTCACATTTTGTACTTAAAAATGGAAGTGTAGGTAAGGTTCATTTCTAAGCATTAAGTTCATGATTCATATAGGACAGCCAAAGTTGTCAGCAAGCAGAATGAGGAGAGTCTAGATTTAGAGTTCTTGGAATTAGAAGAAAGTTTAGTGATATTCCTGTGAATCGTAGTACAATGGATAAATGACATGTAACCTGGATTCAAATTAAATACTAAGACAGACATTTGATTATGTTTGTGATGTCCTGATGCTCATTAAACATGTATCTTATCATCTATTCTTTTCAGGCTGGCCCTCACTGCCATAAATAAATTTGAAGAAGCAGTTACAAGTTATCAAAAGGCATTAGATCTTGACCCTGAGAATGATTCCTATAAGTCAAATCTGAAAATAGCAGAACAGAAGTTAAGAGAGGTATCCAGTCCTGTAAGTTATTAATGCCAAATGGGGGAAATATTTTCTGTTATTCAGTTTGTTGTAATAAAATTGTAGTAGTTAGAATAATTCTCAGATATAATTTTTTTACAGACAGGGACTGGACTGAGCTTTGACATGGCTAGCTTAATAAATAATCCAGCCTTCATTAGTATGGTGAGTATGTTTCCTTTTTTGCTCTGCTGGCTCCTGTTTTCCTTAGAGCTATATAGTTCCAAAACTTTTTTTAAATGAATAAGGGAGCTTGTGTGATAGTGGTTTAAGTAGAGTCATGATATGAGGTTATAGCTCAGGTTTTTAATCTGCTTATGTACCTGTTTGTGAGAGAGGCATGGGTAGACTTCAGAAAACCCATGGATTCCCTGGAATGTATAAAAATTTGTGTACATGTGGATATGTGCATTTTCTCTAAGGAGCGAACCATATTTTTCATCAGATTGGCAGAGGGGTTTGCAAATCTATGAAATTTAAAAAAACACTCTCTTACATGAAGGAAGAGGCCCTAGGAAGAAATCTAGTAATTGTGGTCTGAGGATTTTGGCTGTTGTGGTTCCCAGAACTTCTCCCAGTATTGTCTGTTTCCTTTCTAAACTTTAAGTATAATCTCATATATATGTAGTCCATCATTCAAACCAAAAAAATCACTTATGGATGTTTTTGAAAATACATGCTCTGGTCTAATATGTGGAAACTATGATTTAGTGGGTCAGAGATGCTACCTGGTATAGAGAGCACCTTGGGTGACTATACTTCTGGCTGAGAGCCAGTCTACCACATGTTATGCCCTTGGAAGGCAGTACCACGTTCTATTCATCTTTGTTCCCTTCAAAAAGTGTATCTTGTGTCCACTAAATCTTCACTTGAGTTGAAATGCACAGATGGCTTATTCCCAGTGAGATGAAGTCTTGAGTAACTGGTAAGTTTTGAATGATTGATAGGTTTAAAGCAATTAATAGTTTAAAATTGGTAGTTGAAATCTTTGTAGTTAATTTTTGAATTAACAACCCTCAATGTTAGGAAAGCCACCACTTGCTTTTATTACCAGAGAGAACTGTTTGCTTGATTTGCAGATAATTCAGTAACTCTCCTTGAATCTCAGGACTGAGCCAGTGAAATTGAAGTTGGCCTTCAATTTGTCAGCACATGTCTCTTTGTATGTTTGTGTGACATTTTTGAACACTGTTACCTAACAGCATAGGTTACACTATTGCAGCAGGATGTGGAAATGGATTTCCTTTAGTTTCAGATTCAGTTTAGCCCTCAGGATGCTGTTTACTGAAGTGAGGTATGAGACGGCCATGTAGGAGCTGTAAAAGGTGTGGATTCAAAACTTATTGTGTGACCCTTAAAAAGATCAGGTTGAGAGGCGGAGCCAAGATGACGGCGTGAGTAGGACAGTGGGAATCTCCTCCCCAAAAACATATATATTTTTGAAAAAACAACAAATACAACTAATCCTAAAAGAGAGACCAGAAGACACAGGACAACAGCCAGACTACATCCACACGTGCGAGAGCCCAGCGCCTGGTGAAAGGGGTAAGATACAAGCCCCGGCCCAGCAGGACCCAAGCGCACCTCACCCCAGCTCCCAGGGGGAGGAGAGGAGTCGGAGCGGGGAGGGAGAGGGAGCCCAGGACTGCTAAACACCCAGCCCTAGCCATCCGCACCAGAGCGCAAACACAGTGCATGCGTGGAGGGCTGAAAACTAGGGAAACAGGGCAGCAAGACCTCTGAGTGGATCCCAAAGCTGATGCCCCTGTGACAAAGAAAAGCGAGTGCTTTTTGAAAGTCTTAAAGGGACAGGGACGCAACACCTGGAAGGAAAAACCCAGGTCACAGTCCAGCAGCTGGAAATTCCAAGGAAACCCGGGTGCACTAACCCCCTGGGCAACAGCTCTGAGACCCCTCACGGAGGTAAACAGCCAAACAACCCCCATCCATTACCCCTCTAGGGCGCGGCCATAGCAGAGAAGCAGCCTAAGGCTGGCCATGCCCTCAGCAAGGGAGCTTCCTCCATACCTGCCGGGCAAGACACAAAGACCCAGTCTACACGCAATTGCCCAACACAAGCCACTAGGGGTCGCAGTTGTCCCAGTAAAGAAAGGCCAGTAGCAAGTGGAAAGTTTGGCTCTCCCAGCTGACAGTCAATAGCACATATAAACATTAAAAGGCAAAAAAATTTGATCCAGACAAGACTAACCCAGACAGCTTCGGCATCTGCTACATCTTCCCCTGAGAAGGAACCTGGGGAGATAGATTTAACCAGTCTTTCTGAAAAAGAATTCAAAACAAAAGTCATAACCATGCTGATGGACTTGCAGAGAAATATGCAAGAACTAAGGAAGGAGAATACAGAAATAAAACAAGCTCTGGAAGGACTTCAAAACAGAATGGACGAGATACAAGAGACCATTAATGGACTAGAAAACAGAGAACACAAATGCAGAGAAGCTGATGCAGAGAGAGATAAAAGGATCTCCAGGAATGAAAGAATATTGAGAGAACTGTGTGACCAATTGACATGGAACAATATCTGCATTATATGGGTACCAGAAGAAGAAGAGAGAGAAAAAGGAATAGAAAATGTCTTTGAAGAAATAATTGCTGAAAACTTCCCCAAACTAGGGGAGGAAATGGCCTCTCAGACCACAGAGGTACACAGAACTCCCATGACACAGGATCCAAGGAGGGCAACACCAAGACACATAATAATTAAAATGGCAAAGATCAAAGACAGGGACAAAGTATTAAAGGCATCCAGAGAGAAAAAAAGGTCACCTACAAAGGAAAACCCATCAGGTTATCATCAGACTTCTCAACAGAAACCTTACGGGCCAGAAGAGAATGGCATGACATACTTAATGCAATGAAAAAGAAGGGCCTCAAACCAAGAATACTGTATCCAGCACGATTATCATTTAAATATGAAGGAGGGATTAAACAATTCCCAGACAAGCAAAACTTGAGGGAATTTGCCTCCCATAAACCACCTCTACAGGGTGTCTTAGAGGGACTGCTCTAGATGGGAACACTCTAGCACAGAACAAAACACCCAACATATGAAGAATGGAGGAGGAGGAAAAAGAAGGGATAGAAATAAAGAATCACCAGACAGTGTTTATAATAGCTCAATAAGTGAGTTTAGTTAGACAGTAAGATACTAAAGATGCTAATCTTGAACCTTTGGTAACCACAAACTTAAAGCCTGCAATGGCAATAAGAACATACTTATCGATAATCACCCTAAATGTAAATGGACTGAATGCACCAATCAAAAGACACAGAGTAATAGAATGGATAAAAAAGCAAGACCCATCCATATGCTGCTTACAAGAGACTCACCTCAAACCCAAAGACATGCACAGACTTAAAGTCAAGGGATGGAAAAAGATATTTCATGCAAACAACAGAGAGAAAAAAGCAGGTGTTACAATACTAGTATCAGACATAACAGACTTCAAAATAAAGAAAGTAACAAAAGATAAAGAAGGACATTACATAATGATAAAGGGCTCAGTCCAATGAGAGGATATAACCATTATAAATATATATGCACCCAATACAGGAGCACCAACATATGTGAAACAAATACTAACAGAACTAAAGGAGGAAACAGAATGCAATGCATTCATTCTGGGAGACTTCAACACACCACTCACTCCAAAGGACAGATCCACCAGACAGAAAATAAGTAAGGACACAGAGGCACTGAACAACACACTAGAACAGATGGACCTAATAGACATCTACAGAACTCTACATCCAAAAGCAACAGGATACACATTCTTCTCAAGTGCACATGGAACATTCTCCAGAATAGACCACATACTAGGCCACAAAAAGAGCCTCAGTAAATTCCAAAAGATTGAAATCCTACCAACCAACTTTTCAGACCACAAAGGCATAAAACTAGAAATAAACTGTACAAAGAAAGCAAAAAGGCTCACAAACACA